ATGTGTTATGGAAGGTAAGCGATCAACGGACAGCTGCTATATTCTAACAAATGATATCCTCTGTTGCAGGTCCAGCATAAATGAGTCTCAATTGTGGCATAAAAAAAATTAGGGCGTCAGCAATCCAGCTAATTAAATTTCTTTTTGCCCGTGTTAATAAAATTTCAGGTACACTAATTCACAAATAAGTATTACTTAGTGTTACTAATATTTTTTTCTCGTGTGCAAATTAAGTCTTAAGGCTAAGCAGTCACAAAAGCTATCTTGAATTCACGTTTTAAAAGCCAAGTGTTCAGGTTTTATTTGTTTCTTATCTATCCACCTTCTCTTTATCTTGAATTCCCTAAAAACGATGTTTGTTTTGATATTATTGTGCGTATATCTTTTTGAACATGAATTATCCTTTCTAATTTATATATATACGTGTATCTCTGGATTCATTAAATCATCAGGTACTTTTAATCTTTCAGGTTCTTTCTCTTTACTTGTTCATTTTTTAAGTGTTCGTTTAATTTGCTTGGGTTATTCTTTATGTTTTGTTATTGGTTGTTTCTGTGTGTTCACTAAATGTCCTATCTACATTGTGTTGGATGCTTTTGATATGATAATTCTTTGATTGTGCCTTTTTTTGTTGGTGTTTCCTGTGTTAAAATATGTTTGCTTGAATGATAAATTTGGTGCAATTTGATTAATGTGTTTATTTTTCTGTGTTATTTGTTTGGTCCGGTCATGACCGTGTGTGTTTTTTGGTTGTGTGTTTTTCATGCTATTTGTTGTGTTTCTGTGCCTGAATCATCTTCATGTCTTGTTTGACTCAAATTAAAAATTTCTTGAATTTTTGTGCTTCTTTGTTATTTGCTAAGTCGTTTTCAAGATTGCATGTACCTTGTTCTGTGTTTCTCTTTTCTATTTTCCCTTGTGCAGGTTCATGTGGGAAAAGATTTCGTAAAAAGCAAAAAGGAATTATTATGGAGCTGTTCTCTCTATTTTTTTTCGTCAAGCAAAAGCTATCTGGTATTAGTTATTGGATTCTCTATATATGGTTTCTCTTATTGGCTTTAATGGATATTATTGCATATCGGATTATCTTTGTGGTTGAAAATCTTCGGATTATTAGATTATCCAGGTTACCATATTATTTGGGTTATCATATCTTCTGGATTATCATGTTATTCAGACTCTCGTGTTGTTGGTTGTGTGATAGCTTTTTATAAAGAATATCTGAATGGTTTGTCTACTATAGCGAACATGGAATGAATATGACAACACTACCCTCTTGGTGTATGGAAATTAATATTGATCAATATGGATGAATGTTGGATAAGTCTCTTGCTATTTTACGGGAAAGAGGGTCAGGCACCCCGTCAACTCACTAGTCTAATCCACTGATTTGATGTTCACCGATCATTTTTGTCACTTATTTGGCAAAAAAGGGGGAGTAATAGAAAGGAGGAGTTTTTGAAGAAAGGGGGAGTTTTTATTTGACTGATTATTTTGAAATATGAAATTAGTGAATATACAAGAAAGGGGGAGTAGTAGGAAAGCATGATGACTGCGACATATGGTAATTTTTTTTTTTTTTTTTTTTTTTTTTTGAGTATGGCTTGTCTACTACTCTATTATGCTACATTTTGGTAATCTCTGAATTATATATCTCTTCAGTTTATGGCCATTATTATCAGTTACTGGTTATTATTATCTAAAACAGTGAACTTATGGTTATTGGATGATCAGCTTTTATTTAGCTAATCTATCTATTGGTGATCAGTTATTCTATCTGAATATTGAGGTTTCTCGGGGTTCATAAACAACACACATTCTCTGAAAATTAATACTATGAGTTCATGGAACATGGTCTACAAGAGCTTTTGGTAATGTTTTTTTCTTACCTTAGGTTATTGTATGGCACATATACTAAGGGCTTTTTAATAAAATTATTTTATTTTTCTTGTTTGCCCAAAGTATAAGATGCTATAGTTTTTGCCAAATAAATTGCCAAAGGGGGAGATTGTAAATGTACATAATTTGTACACATTAAAAACCTTGTTGTTGGCTAATTTATTTGTATAATAAATAGATTTAAGTTAGCCAAAGCTCTTGGACCATTTTCCTATCTTATGGTATTTAATTGAGTGGCTCACAATTATTGTGCATATGAAGAGGAAGTCAGCAATCTGATTGTGGTTCAAGCAAATTATAAGGATTTGGTTTAAATGAGTGGCAGTGAATGATTTGAGCATTTGATGAAGCTATTCACGTGGCTTATTTTGGTGAAGGGATTATTACTATAAAAGGGAAGATTACTCATTGTGGAAACTTGCCAATTTGAGATTTAATATTATTTTGAGAAGTGAATATTATACTGCTAACAAATTGAATTAAATATATTATTCTGCTGAGCTACGGTCTGCGCCTGAGTCAGTCGAAGTCTGCTGAGCTACGGTCTGCGCCTGATTCAGTTGAAGTATTGTTCGAAGGTTATCAAGGCATGCACGTCACGGTCCAGGTTGGATGTTAGGAAGGTTGTTTGTAGTATGGTAGTTAAGACTGTGAGAGTCTAATGTACTGTTCTATTGTAAAACTCCTTGGTGAACATCAATAGTGGATTGGGCTGACGTGGGTTGCCCCGCAGACGTAGGAGAAGCGCTCCGAACTGCGTAACAAATCTTTGTGTACTTGATTTACTTACTGCTTTTATTTTTTTGTTATTTACTATCATTAAATAACAAAAATTAATCGATCAAAATCTAATATAAGTTTTAAAATCAAGTAGAAGTTCAGGTTCAGCTAATTTAAGGTTCACGACATAATTTCAATAATATTTTTTATTTTTTAAAAAATCTGAAAAGTCTATTCATCCCCTCCCCATCTCTAGACCTTTTCTTGTCAAAACCAAGACAAGCGATGCTATAAATAGTTTTTCGTTTTATGTGCGTTTAAACTTTGATAATAATAATAATAATAATAATAATAAAGAAATTTCCTCAACTATTTAGTTAAAATTCACTAGTGGAAATTATGGAATTTCCAACCACCTAAAAGTGATCTTAAATCAAGTTAAAAGTCTTGTTCCGACCACTTTTGATATCCGGAAAAACCTTTGTTGCTATTTTCGACCACTTTTTGGTATTAACTTGATTTAAGATCACTTTCAGGTGGTCGGAAATTTCATAATTTCCAGTAGTGATTTTAAAACAATCTTTTCAGATAGATATTAATAATATATTAACTCTCTTAGTCAAACATTCAAGATTTTAGGTACAATATTGCATAATATTAAACACTTTGTCTATGAACTCGATCAACAATATAATTTTTATAACATTACATCAGAGATTCAATAAAGAAAAAATAAATAAAAATAAAGAAAATGGCCGGATTAGAAACAAGAAAAATTAAATGTTCATGCTAAGAAAAGTTTGTAGTAGTAGAAATATAACAGATCAGACTTAAATTCAACAACTTATTAACGTAACTTGCATTACAAAACCGAAGTTGTAATTATGAAGTTTCTCACTAATGTTTGGTACATAATATGGTTGAATTTTCTCATCCATATTTAATTTTGTGCAACTGAGAAAATTCGTTTGTGATTGAATTTGAAAAGCTAAAATTATGTTTATACTGTTTCACTATAATATTTTAGATAATATTTTGCATTTATTTTTTATATTTAGTAATTAATTGAACTTTTGTTTTGTTTTAATTTGTTTTCTAAGGTAAAAGAACTACATATTAAGCCGTGGAAATCAAAGCAAAATTACAAGAAGGGGGAATGGTATCCCATGCTCTAGGACAAGACTGAAAACCCATAGCTTTAATTTAGTCAAGGAGTGAGCTACAAGCAACATGGGCGATTTAGTAATTTTAAAGAGTGGGAGCGAAGTTTAAATGGAGTTTGTTCCAAGGTCATATAATATTATATTTTAAGGAACAACCAAATAAGCTATTTAATTAAATATCTAGTAACTTGTATATACATTTTCTTGCTATATATGTATAATTACTGTTAGAAATTATGAAATTTTCGACCACCTAAAACTCTGAAAGTGATCTTAAATCAAGTCGAAAGCAAAAAGTGGTCGAAAATAGCAACAAAGATTTTTCCAGATACCAAAAGTGGTCGGAACAAGACTTTCGACTTGATTTAAGATCACTTTCAGGTGGTCGGAAATTCCATAATTTCCAGCAGTGATATATATATATATATATATATATATATATATATATATATATATATATATATATATATATATATATATATAAGGGGTAGAGAAGGGGAGGGGTGTGCAACTGCCCCATTGCCTTCACTCTGGATCCGCCCTTAACACACAAAGTTCAATTCGTTGATCAACTAATTAATATGTCTAATTAATAATGACATTACCGATTGAAGAGACTAAATAAATTCTTACAAATAGTAGTGATTAAATCAAGTCGAAAGCAAAAAGTGGTCGAAAATAGCAACAAAGATTTTTCCAGATACCAAAAGTGGTCGGAACAAGACTTTCGACTTGATTTAAGATCACTTTCAGGTGGTCGAAAATTCCATAATTTCCAGCAGTGATATATATATATATATATATATATATATATATATATATATATATATATATATATATATATATATATATATATATATATAAGGGGTAGAGAAGGGGAGGGGTGTGCAACTGCCCCATTGCCTTCACTCTGGATCCGCTCTTAACACACAAAGTTCAATTCGTTGATCAACTAATTAATATGTCTAATTAATAATGACATTACCGATTGAAGAGACTAAATAAATTCTTACAAATAGTAGTGATTAAATCATAATAGGTGCACCAACTACTATGTAGTGCAATATATGGTATCTCGATTATTCTTTTAAATGAGTGTTTATAGGTTGGAACTCTGATAGTGATGGGCTCATTTAAGTTTGATATACGATTGAGCTTTGTAGGGCAAAAACCCAAATTATTATTATTTTTCAATTACTCAAAAGTTTGATATACTAGTACTCAAAAAAAAAATACTAGTGCGGATTTATAATTACATTTAATTTACACCCATATAGCTCCTGCCTTTTTAAGCTTTGGCTTTAAAGAGCCTTGAAGATGAAGACCAATAACCTCATTTTCTCCCCCCACCAACTCGCCGCCGATAAACACCGCCGGAACAGTAGGGTTGCAGCCGATCCTGGACAAGAACTGCTCGATTTCCCGGCCTCTCGGGATCTCATCGAGCTCGTAGACCGCGGGGTACACCGCCAGGTCGGAGAATAGGGACTTGATGCTATAGCTCATGCAGCAGGAGCTCTTGCTAAATATCACCACTGGCTTCTCGCCCACCATTCTTCGTACACTCTCCATTTGATTACCTGCGAGTTTGAGCTTTGAAGATTTTAAGGAATGTTTGGGTTTTGGTGTGAGGAAAAGATTAGAGCAGGAAGCCATATTTATAGTATGCTTTGGCACCATCACCTTTGTACGGTTCACAAATGACGAGTGAAAGTGAAGTACGAGAGTCCGTACGAATTATTATCTTAATGGATTAAGAAGAATAATGTAACTTGCATTTATCTGATTGGATTTCATACAACTAATCAGCTGTCTAGTCCAAACTTTTCAATTAATTAATAAATATCAACAATTTTGACATTTTATTTTATGATAATAACAAATTAACAATAACAATAACAATAGGATGATATATGTGATACCAGTTGTGTCGAGATGGAAATATAATATACAGTCATGCTAGAAAATTTAATACTAATAACGAATAAATTGTTATGGAGGTGTAATACTTTTTTTTAAAAAAAATATAATACTTTTAAATTAAAATTTAATATTTAGTTATTGAACAATTACATATGAGAGAACTAGTTATAAAAAAATTATAATAGCAAAAATATATATAAGGAGTAATATTTATGAAAAATCTGACTCACCTGTCTCATAGGAGATTCACCCATACAAAATATATAATTTTAAACTGAAGATTGTAATTTCATTGGAGATGCATTTTCAAGATTTTATTCAAAGTTATCTAGCTATGAGGAGCCAAATTCAATTCCTAAGAGATATTGCTTGTTCTTTAGACTAGCTTCATGCGTTTACGTACTATTCTTGAGTTAAACTTACCATTATATTATCCGATATGATTAGACATTGATTTTATATATTCTAATAGGTAGCAAATCTTTTGTGTATGGTGGCCTCGAATAGTTGACAATGATTGATGTAGGTTGCCACAAGCATAGAATAGACTGGAAAAGTACGTAGCACAATAACGAATCTCTACATGCAGAAATTGATCTGGGACCAGTGCGTCCATTATACGGCGGCGTTCACAAATTGGATGGCCGCCGCCGTTGGAAGACGACGGAGCCACAGCCTGATATTCCCTTTCTTCTACGGGCGGCATGCAGAATGAGCTTCGTGTGTAAGTGTTAGGATCAAACGTTTATTATTACGTCAAAAGTTGTAATTCGTAGCGAAGTCGCAACCTTATTTCTTTAATGACTGTCATCACATTTTAGAGAGGCAGAGTGATGAACTTGACTCTTCAGTGACCTCTACCCAATAATTCTCTAGTTACCAATGATGGACTTGACTGGCCTCGTCCAGCAATCTCCTAGCCACCAATTGAAAGACTTGATCCTTTACGGCTTCCGATTCGCCCAACAATCTCCTAGCACCCATTGATGGGCTTGGACCTTTACTAGCCTCTACCCAACAAGAGTCTCTTCGTCTCCAGGGACGGAGCCAAAAATTATTTGAGCGGGGCGAAGTTTAAATGACCTTAAAAATGTAAATTACAAAATATCAAACATCCATGGTTAAAATACAAAATATATTATAAATTACAATAGAATATTTTTGATAGATTACACAATAGTTATAGTCGGAGCTAAAAAATATACTTGAGTGGGGTGAAAATGTGAAAATATTTATAACAAAATATGAAACATAATCAATTAGTTAACATAATTTGAATAACACTATATTCATAAATACTTTTTAATTTTAATTTTTTTAGTTATATGAACTTTAAGTTTTTCTAAATTAATTTGAATAGAATGAAGTATAATATAAACTTTGTACTATTTTGATTGGTTGAGATGAACATGGTTGTGCAATGTCGACACTACGTACTCATATTAATTGATAAGAAAATACAAATTTCATAATTTTGAGCCAAAAATTGATAAGAAAGTCGTATAGTATGTGATAAGTGGCAAGCTCGTGGAGTTCATGAGCTCAACATGCTATGATCCATGTGAATATGTTTTGTTGTGCCCACTTCATCCACAAAAGTATGTATTGTGACTTAGCTTTCATACAAGCTAATTAAGGCATCTGATGAGTTGGCGAAATTAAAGTTGCATTTATCCAATTGGACCAATATCACCATAAACAAAAGAAAGAGATTCGCATCTAATTCACTATATGCAAGAACTCGGAAAGGCATGAGAATGAGGGTAGAATAAATTTTATAATCACACATGCTATACATTTCATTTGGTTGGGTTCAAATAATCACACATGTCACTCCCTTCAACAATTCCTTCTTCACCATTAATCCTTTATTCGTTTATGCATAGTAAATGTTAAGATCAAACGCTTACCACTGCACTAAATTAAAACACTTACTGTTACGTCAAAAATTATAACTAATAGTGAAGACTCAATTTTATTTTCTTATACATGTACCAATTTTTTTTCTTATACGTACCGTTACATTTTTGAAAGGCAAAGTGTTGTCATTAGCCCATTACCGATCTCCGTCTAATAATACACATAACTTACATTATTAATAATGGTTTATAATTGACAGTAATAATGTTACCGGTAATAATAATACTATAATAACGTTATAAGAGAGCAACAATAGTTGTATTGTCTTTGTCTCAGTATAGAAAGTACAGTGTATCTTTGTCCAGAGTATTGAACGTGTCCCCTCTGCCTGAGGAGATGTCCTACTTATATCAAGCTCCTAACGGTAACATCATAATGAGGCATAATGAAGAGCTGAGCATTCATTCCTCTCTCTTCAATGGTGGTGTAGTAAATGACCCTGTGGTAACGTTCCATCCATTAGTAATCTGCCCGTTGGGTTTTCATGTGGTGCCGGGTCAGGTACCCGTTTGACAACCCGGGTCGGGTGCTGGCACCATTACTCTGTCACCAGTCCCCCCTACTCCTGAGTCTACGGATGTGTTTGAGTTGACTTGGGAGTAAGGCTGAATCTATCTTGATACTGTGCAGAATTCTAATTGATCCCGAGTATGCGATTTTATTTTCCAAATCACATATGATCTTTTTTTTTCTTTTTGTATGCTGACCGAGACTGGCTGCGGCCTAGGCAGGCCGAGGTGCGTGCCTCCGGTCGATCACGGCCGAGGCGTCGCCTCGACCGATCGGGGCTGAGGCGTGCACCTCGGCCGATCGCTCGTGGCCGAGGCGTGCGCCTCGGCCGATCGTGGTCGAGGCGTGCGCCTCGGCCGATCGTGGTCAAGGCGTCGCCTCGACCGATTGTGGTCGAGGCATCGCCTCGACTGATTGTGGTCGAGGCGTCGCCTCGACCGATCGTGGCCGAGGCGTGCGCCTCAGCCGTAGTGGCCGAGGCGTGCGCCTCAGCCGTCGTGGCCGAGGTGTACGCCTCAGCCGATCGTGGCCGAGGCGGGCTCCGACCTATTGTTTTTTTTTTTTTTTTAGCTTTGCGGCGTGGGCCGGCTTCGGGCTGGTGCGCCGCCACAGCCTGGCCGAGGCACCGCGCTTCGGCCACAGCCGAGGCTTGCGCCTCGGACAGATGGTCTGAGGCGTCGCCTCAGCCAATTGGCCTAGGCGTGCGCCTCGACCTCTTCCTTTTTTTTTTTAGTTTTTTTTTTAAGCTTTTTAGCTTTGCGGTGTGGGCCGGCTTCGGGCTGGGGCGCCACCACAGCCTGGCCGAGGCACCGCGCTTCGGCCACAGCCGAGGCGTGCGCCTCGATCAGATGGTCTGAGGCGTGCGCCTCGATCAGATGGCCGAGGCGTGCGCCTCGACCTTTTTTTTTTTTTTTTTTTTTTTGTAGAGTGCTGCGACGGTCGTGGTTGATCGAAGGTGGTATTGGGAACCTTTTTATTTGAGCGAAGTAACCTGGGCGGACCATGATTACTAAATACTGTTTACAGGTTTGGGCGGACCACGACTACAAAGTATTACTGATAATATCTAATTAAAAGTTCTGAGTTTCATACCCGATCGATCATCCTTGCAGATGGTGTGGACTTGTAGATTCTTTTCGCCAATCTTTTTGCATGCTTTTACGTAACAACTGCGGGCTGCTCGCTGGTCTCCTCTGACGACTCCTATCCCATTCGGAGTAGGGAACTTCATACACAAGTGTTTTCCCGACGCTATGGCCTTGAGGTCCTCCAGTGCCGGCCTCCCCAAAATGATGTTGTGCGCACAAGTGAGTCTTACCACGATGAATTTCACGTCGAGTTTGCGAATGTTAGGGCTCGTGCCTATCTCCACTGGTATGACCACTGACCCCTCCGTCTCCACTGAATCACCTGTAAATCCAGAGAGTGGGGTACGTACATCTTTGAGCTGGTTCCTAGGTATCCCTAACTTGGTGAAGGCATCGTAATACATCACATTGACTGAGCTTCCCGTATTGACTAAGATGCGGCGTACAATGACATCGTTGACGTCTATCTCAATCACCAGGGCGTCACGATGGGGTAACGGGCCCTCTGGAAGGTCATCATCAGAGAAGGTGATGGCCTTCTGTCTCTGTTTCTTTTCTCTGTGAAGACTCACCACTTCTCCCACGTATAGCTGCCGGCTCCACTTCTTTCTTTCCGCGGGCGTGTCACCCCCTGCAGGTCCACGGTCCACCATAGATAAAGTGTATGGTGTGCTTTTTTTGTCGTCTGGGCGCCACCTCGGTTTCTTTCTCGCTATCATTCTGCTAAGATATTTGGTCGTGTTCTCTTTTATTGGCGTTCGAGGTGGACGGCTCGGTGCCATCCTCATTCCTCCAGGCATTTTTGGTGGATTGTGTTGCGGCTGTTGCTGCCGCTTGGATCGCTTGACGAAATGTCGGAAATATCCCTGCTGGATGAGTTCTTCTATTTGTCTCTTCAAAACGTGACACTCATCCGTATTGTGGCCGACTTGCCTATGAAACCTGTAGTACTTTGTTTGGTCTGCCTGTGGGGAGACCTTCATGCACTCCTCGGGGAATTCTACCATTCCCATTTCCTCGGCTTGCTTTAGAATGACACTGACGGGATGGGTAAGAGGAGTTAAATTACGCAAGGGGACCAGGCGAGGCCATTTGTGGTCTCGGCCTTTCCCTGCGGTCGGGTGTGGTTCGAGAGTGGTGCTTGGCTGGGCGGACCAGCTTTCCCAGGCTTCCCACCTTTCTT